AATCGGTGCAGCCCCAGCTAAATGTATCAAAAGCATGTCTGTAACATTAGAATTTTCTGAGACAATGAATTTTGGTTTTTCATTTTTTTTTCCCCTGTAAGAGGTTTTTATTTAATAGAATTTTTGGACAAAAAAATCGCAATATATCGGGATATATCGTATCGTGACCCCTCTGTCATGATATGTATCGTATCGCCAAATTCTTGCTAATAAACAGCCCTACCCTGCAGATAGATAGGGATAAGAAAAGGAAATGTGTTTGGAGAAGAGATACAGGAGTGACAGATTATTGAGGAAGGTTTTACAATTCCATATCAAATTATACACTGTGCTGCAGCAGTTTTCACTCTGGTACACWGTTGTTTTCTGTGGTTTGTTTGAGCTTCTTGTTTGGCATTTGTTGAATCATTAAAAGCTGTAAACATTTAGTAACGTGTTTCACAAATTTGATTATAGCCTGGGATTAGAAAATACTATATATACTGTATGTATAATAGTATTATTTGTTGTGTCAAATTTTGTTGGACCCCCTTACAAATATTCAAGACCCCCCTTTGACCCACCACTCATTCTGGAGCCGCCATTGAGCTCACTCAGCCAGTGTCTCTCATCATGAGGGATGAGGCTGCGTCTGCTGCTTCAGTTCTTCTTATTAAACAATGTTTCATTTAGTTTTAAAAAGTTTCATTAAAATCTGACCAGTGGTTCACAGATGTTTTGCTAACATGCACACACACATGACATGACTGTCCACCTTAGATAGCTGAGCAAAGGTGTGTTTTAGGTAGAATGCTACATTTTTCACTGGATCAGAYGATTTTGGTTCCGAGCAAATCTTTTTTAAAGACCACAAGGACTTTTTGTTGTGCACACACAGGATCATTTTCATCTTTAAAACAAAGTAGGTTTAATTTGTGATTTGCCGTCTCACCAGGTACCAGCCAGAGCTCCCAGTCAGTTCAGTTCGGGTTGGTCCGCCAATCTCCTGCCAGGGCTTCCATGGCCAGCCAGTCCTCACTGTACCGCTACAGCAGCAGCCGCCACTCGTCCCTGCGCACCTCCACCACAGGCCTGGAGCCCTGCCGGCGTTCCTCCACCAGCCAGCTGTCACTGCGCACGCTGCCCACCTCCCTGCAGCTGCGACTGGGCTCCACCTCTGACCCAGCTGGCCCCTCGTCCTCTCTCTCCAGCCACAGCATCCCTCCCTGCAAACGTCACACACTGGTGGGGCTCTTGGGTAACGACGGCGTCTGCAGCACYGTAACAGATCCGCTCAGCCAGCTGCATCACCATCATTACCACCCGCAGCAGCACAACCCCACCTTCTCCACTGTACGAAGAGATGACATCTCCTACAGAGTGCAGGTTTGGA